ATGGCAGCATATCTTTCAGTTATATCATCAAAGTTGAACCAAGGAAGTGTAATGCAACCCAGAGTCTGTGCTATCAGGACCTATATTGGTCCACTAGGATCGCTCTAAATGCGATCCAAAACCAGTGTGGAAATGCTACTGTCCACAGATGATCTTTACAAGCTGAAAGCTACATATGTACCACATTTTTATGTGATAACATTTTTTTACATAAAAGCAGACAAGATCGTTGTATGCATCTGTGAAAATAACCAAATTTGCTGGAGATCTTCTTAGTGATGAACCTTCACATTTCTAACTATCAGTCAATCATTTTTCTTTAGTCATGTAAACAATATAGACAGTGATATCTCTTGACTAAGTCCACTCAATGAGAAGTAATTTTTCATTTCTTTCTAAGAACTCCTCTTATAGAAATGGAATAAAAAAGTCATATTTGTTATTCTCTACAACCCACAAGTGTTCAAAACACAACAATTCCGTACATTTTGCGCCAAACGACCAATGACAGGTCACTTTGACAAAGTGTCGCTATCGCCACCATCAATTCGTCACTGCCCTACTGACGTGTTACGTCACATGTCAGTCCCGTCCTGACATATTAACCCATTAACCACGGCCCTACCCATAGCCTCTCACAAATACCATGTCAACTAAAGCATTAGGTGGGAGGACCATTTATCTTTTTGCATGATAATCTCACTTTTACTGCAAAACAACAACATCACCTACTATTTTCCTATATCAGCCATATTTTCTCTTTATTACTCTACCCCCAGGGGGCACAACTGGCAGAGCTATTACAGGTATATATATATAGAGTTCTTCTCTAACCACAATGACTGCAATTACCAGGCTATAATAAGACAAGATCATATGTTGACAATACTATCATTCCATGTGACACATTCAATCCAGAACTACTCCCCCAGTTCCTGGTGTAACGTCAAAAACTGTGTACACGTTCTACGTTCCCACTGACCCGTCATCTTCACCTGTCAAGTACGCCTATTCTTACCTCACTGTTTGTGTGAGACTCTCTTTCTAAACCACAATACGATGACTTAGCAATTCTTAATTAACAAGTGTCTTTTCATGACCTGTTTATAAATCGTTATCTTATGACAGTGTCTCCAAGACATCCTAGTTACTTGCATGCTTCAAGATGCTTACTTCATGAGTCAATTGCTAAAATAGATTGTTACTTTCTGGTACATTTTCCCTTTAAATGATAATATCCCAGATAAAGTATAACGAGGAAAGTTGTAGTCTCTAAAGACATGACAAGTGCATGGGTGTGTGCTAACAAAAATTACTGCCAATAAAAAACACATCCCACAGTGAAGACATCTCCCTGTTATAATACCTGGATAAATCTCTGTGTAATATTACCTGAATACACTATGTCACAATTACTACAGCTGACATCAGTGATACACATAACGTGCACTAGCTGCCTAATACCTTGCTTAGTCACTCCGCATGGGTTTCTAGATCAAACATTCATTCAACAAAGACACTTCATGGAAAATAAAAACTTCTGACCAAGCGTAACTGTTCCTATGTACTGTTAGAACTGACTTCTGATTGGATACATAGAGCTGCTTTTAAAATGAGGCACAGTTCAGGAAAAAATCAATACTAAAAGACTCATACTTAACCCTCCCCACCCCAATAAAAAAAAAAAAAAAATAATAATAATAATTTAATTCTAAGCCAAGAGAAGCACTTGAAGACCACTCACCTACCTGATCATTCATCAAATTGAAAAAGTCTCCTGAACCATTCCTCAACTCCTCTCCAGACGGTGAATAAAAGTTACTCCCCAAATTTCACGTCCATGTTAATGAACCCCCAGTGCTGATGACGTAGTCTCCCCCCTCCTGGCCTCTGTACCCCACAAACTCCAGTCCCTCATCTGTCTGCCTGCCCCAGTTCCCCATCATCTCTCTCCCTATCCACATGGTTCCTATGATAACTGACATAATCCACCAGAGCCACCACGTGCAGTGTACTAGGCAGGACTGGGATGGGTGAATGACTGCCTTCTCTCCTCTCCTCTCCAGTATTAACTGTAGAGAACCTGTGGTCGCGGCTCTTTATATACCGCCATGAGTCACCTCCCCAGCTATCCCTTCACTTAGTTACCTATTAGAGAATACACGTCCTGACATGATTGGGAAGTTTGAGATATGAAATATGTGACAATGATTGCAGACCAGGTCAAGTTGGGCTTTGTTTCATTGTTGAAGTGGTGCTACAAATATTAAGAACCCTATCACAGGTGGACTTGTACGAATTCTGATGATTAAAAAATATTTTCTGGAAATGAATCAGTTACAAAACTTTTCATCATCAATTTTATATGGCTATTTATGCGCCTTGTGATGGCCAGTCATTGCAGTAATATTTGAGTTGCTTTTCCTGGCATCTGACCAAAAATGATGACTATTGGAAAAACCAATACTTGTTCAAGCTCACAATTAGGGTATTAAACACCAAATGATGGCTGACTAAATTTTACACCCACGCTCCAATTTCCACCTACACAGATAATATTTATTGAACTGTCAATAATACCAAAACCTGCTATGTGTAGTGCATTAGAACCAAATAATAACAGTTTCAGTTTACCATTGCAGTATTCGCTGTGAAAATATCATGATTACTGCATTATTAACTTAACAACCAGTGATATTACAAATGAAATGTAACGTTGACTGCTGTAGTAAAGAGCAGGTTGTTGAAAAAAGTTCTTTTTTTTTTTTTGTCAAGTCAACAGCAACTGTAATATAAACTTCAGAAGAGTTTGACAGACTCACTGACTAAACAACAATCACAGACAAAGCACATTTTAGGTGTTCCTCTGTCCAAGTTCCTTACTGCAGATATTTTTACCTCAAAAGTAATTGAACCATAAAACTACTTTCCAACACAAGAAGACAACCTAAGCATTTTATCATACCTTCCACAAAGACCCCTAAATTATAAGGAAATTTATAATTAATTGCTCAAAATCCACCCACTTCCTGTTCTAAAATATATCACTCCTATCTCAGAGTTCAACAAAAGGTATCAAACAGACAGAACAAAAGGTATCAAATTTACCTGATGTATTCATTATTTATTACGTTTTGTTCCCGTCACCAAACAAAACTCAAAAATAAACACCGCCTCCGAGGGCTGTTTCTGGTGACAAATTCAGACAAACCACTTAGCAATGAAAGATAAAATTCATAAATGATGTTAATTTTCTTTAACGTTCCTGTCGTCTATTGTTGGTGTTTACATCACGAGGACAGTAAGGACACAGGCTGGTATCTTTTAGTTTAAACATCAACTAAGGCTGAGTATTATCAAGTGCAGGGACTTTGTACTGCACTGTTGGATAACTAACTTAAACACTTCTTGGAAACTCTTCTATTAAAAAGAAGCACATCAGTGAACAGAACAAATCTATTTCATAGGAAAAGATTTTAAACAGTTGTTCATCCATGCATCCTAACTGTCCTCTTAAATGGCTTTTAGACTAGGCTAATATAATTTTTACCATTTCAGTTTCCTTTTCTCAAAATTTTACTTATGTTTCCTCATTAAGAATCTTTCTAGTAAGAATTTTTTAGACAAATGAAGAAATATTTTAATTTTTTTCATTTATAACTTTCAATCTTTCATTCTTTTACACAAAATTAAAACCAAACCAATAACATTCTTGAAATATTTGGACACTGCAATTCTCTTAAACTTCTTAATCTTATCAAAGTCATTTGTCTTCATAGATATCAGGTTATTATACCTTGTACCTAGTTTAATTACATTCTTAGCACATATATTGTCCTAAGACAGGTGTGTGGCATCACGCCAGACACACGACAAAGACGACAGACGTGACTGGTACCGCATCAAGCCAGCAGCTGATTGGCTGAAAGTTAACATTATTGGTAATGATTGACAGGCTCTTCTAAGATGAGAGACCGGCTGGTTGATATTGTAATTTGATGTCTTGTTTGAATAAAAGCTGAATCCTTTATTTGTGTTGAGATACTTGTGTCATGTTAATTTGAAGACTTAAATCAGTGGATCCTTTGCTTATTACTGGATAAATTCATAATACAAACGTTGAAGCATAAATACAATTATACACTAGTTAAATATTCACCATTTTCACATAATCTTCCCCAGATGAAAGACTTTGTAAAATCTGTATCTGTAACCAGATGTCCTCAGATGCAGATTACAAAAAAAGCCAGACTAGTCTATTGCACAATAAAATGAAATAAAACAATTGTTTTCAATATTTTACCCTCCCTAATAAATCAAGTCCACATCACAAATTTTTCCCACTCCTGGAAGGGTGTGAGATGTTGACACTATTTTCACATAGATCAGAATTAGTACAGAAAAACAAACACGCAGGGTGAACAGGTGCTTAACAACGAATATATAATACCTTATGTCAAAGTAAACAGAACAGCCTGAAAATGTGTACAATTAGGTTAAAAACAACACAAGGGCAAACTACACTTACTGATAACTACTTTACAAAACACTTGACTATATCATAATATGCATGGGTGAAAGTTGTAAAAAAATGAAAATCCTGAAAATGTAGCTTGCAATTTCTTATTGCATTCAGACCAAATGAAAAAACAACAAAATGAAGGTTAAAAATCCAGAAATCAGGCAAGACTTTCAACCATGACTACATGGAATACAGGTAAACATACACCAAATATTCAAATATTCAGTAACAGAAACATGACATTTATAACAAGTATGCTGCCCAACTGAGCACACGATCAAGTGCTGGTATTTGCCATAGCAGTAATTAATAAAAAAAAATCTAATCTTTATCTGTTTATCTTTAAAATTTCCTAATAACAAATATAACTAGTTCATATATTCTGACATCACAAGATCAAGTCAAAATTAAACAAATGACAGAGTGTAGTATTGAAGAAAGGGATCATTATCAGACATTATATATCAGGTACAGCAGCAGAAATGATGCAATATTTCTACTTACAATCTGGACCCGGTCTCGGCGCCACTGTCATCACCCTCTATCCTGTACACCTTGCCGTACATGACATACTCAAAACTGTCCGCACGCGATGGTCCTTGATCCGCAGGGTTATAGTCTGTGTCATCAGGGTAACCGTCTTCACGCAGGGTGGTAGCTATTACCATACGGAACTTGTCTCCTGGGAGAACAAAAAGAAAGCGTTTCACCCAAGTGATGGCATGTAAACAGTTTATTTACAAGATACAAGACATCACGGCACAACACATGACAACTCCAAGAATTCGGTGTCATATTTATGTCGTGACGAGCTCTTCCCACACATGATCATATTTTGGACCTAAGTACACACAAACAAGAGAACATGTTATCTTGTATACATGTTTTTGTCCAATTTCTTAATCTTGTAAAAAATGGGATGTATATATATAATAAATGGTGCATGAAATCTTTGAGCAATTACCAGAAACCACCTTCAGGAGTAGGATAATAAGAGCCAGTGATCCTATCCATACCAGATGGAATAGAAATGGTAAGGCTGAGTACAGGAACCAGAGAAATATTGACTGTCATCTAAATCTGTGCCTCTCCAGGGACTCTAGTCTACCCCTCACTTCACCCACCCACCTCCTCACCCACCCACTCTCCAGGGACTCTAGTCTACCCCTCACTTCAGTCCCCCCCCCCCCCACCCCGCCTAATAATTCCTTCTGACCTCACAGGAGAGGAGTTTAGATATATAATAGAGGGATGTAATCATGGCCGTTATTAACTCTACTTACTGTCCATTCACCATCAGTTAGCATTTTGGGCAAATAAATATAGTAATACTAACAATATATGAAAATATGTTTATCTCTCCAATAGTCAATTTTGAATGCTTGATTTGCTGATATTTTGAAAAAGAAAAATGTTTTCTTGATTTCTTGTGCTTCTGCTCACAATGTAGAATAAATGAAATATCTTTTTATAATTGGTGTTTTAATTAGTAAACATGTACCTGTATTCACATCAAACCCACCCTCAGTGTTGCTAAAATTTAATCCTAATCTACTTTATTGCCAAGGTACATTTACGTAACACTTTCTTCTTCTTCTTTGAACAATGAACTTTTTTACGACCTTAATAACATGTTTGTTATCATTTTTTTTGCCCTTTGAAGTTATTTTTTAAAAGAGTTTTGACAGAGTATGCCAGTAAACCCACCCTTTCCTGCCGCCAATCTGTTGGTGTAATTTATTGTCTTAGTGCAGCTGATGTTCTGTCATCGATAACTGAGACTTCCTTTCATTTTTAATACTTTTGAAAGACTTTCTTGAGCAATCTGAAGTTGTTTATAGTAATAAAAAAAAATTAACAAGTCTGATCATAGATACTTGTTTATGAATTTTAAGATGTGAAATATTATCAAGGAATGAATTGCTCCATTTATTTGCGTTCCGAGATTCATTGGATGAAAGAGACGAAAGCAACCGACAGAACAACCAACTCCTAGCTGCTTGATATCTTCAACATGAATTATTGAGCGCACTATCTACCTCTGTGTCATCAGTGATATTTGGTCAGCTATTTGTAAACTATTGTTCTATTGTGTTAGTAATCTGGTATGAGTACCGGTTATCTACCAGTGATAGGGAGACAGGGTTCGTCAGACAAGGAGTGACAGGTGGAGACCTATTTTCTCTGCTGTTCTGCTGGATAATCTATTATCAGAAATGTCTACATGCAGAAATAACTGTGATATTAACGACTGGCTCTTTCAACGACCCCCCCCCCCAAAAAAAAATAATAATAATAATAATAAAAAAATAAATAATATATAATTCATTAAAATATTTCTGTTACTCCTAAATGATTATTCGTCATAAATAAACTGGGTTGCCACAATCAGGCACTAGTACAAACCACGCACCTCTCTGAGACAAACCATCATGGTGTCACAACAATCATTTGATCTGCTCAGGTAACGTCACCATTGGTCTGGCAACGGCTGGTTCTCTAATAACTAGTCACTTGTAATTTCTTTCTTTTCATCAAAATAAAAGTATGAAATAAATCTGTGCCACTTTGTCTCAAGTTGGTTAAACTACTAGTTAAGGTGTAAAAATGTCCACTTTCAGAAAAAAAATTAACTGCTACCAACTGTCATGATCTATAATCAAGGATCAAAATACATGAATCCCACAGCATTAAGATATAAAGCAATTCAATCTTCTGGAGAAGTAAGCAAAGGACTAAATGCAGCAGTTGAGCCTCAATGATGCAAGGTTATCAATGTTTCCAAGAAATGACTTGTAGTCTGGGTTTTCCAGGAACTCTAATCCCAAGAACTGGACAATGACCTTGATATGCCCAAAGCTAATGGCCTGTGTCGGGTTTCATTACAATGATATTAGTGTTGTTTTTAGACAAAATGAAGAAACATGTCCTCATCATACACGCTGAAAACTTTTTGTATTATACTCCTCATTTAGCAAGTAGCAGAAATCAACGTTACCTCCAGAGGTAGCTGAACTAAAAGAAAAAATTTGGGTCATAATTTCGAGCAGGGGTCCCCTGTAAAGAGGGGTGTAAAACAATCATTGTTTCTGCCTGGCTATAGACACATGGACATAAATTGTTCTCAGTATGTTACTAATTGTTACAACATCACCTCTTGAGGGCGTGGGTTATATGGACATAGTACAACAGTCATTAGTACTCGTTATGTTACTCACAATAGTACCAATAGTGCATTTTCTCTAAACAAAAAGTTTTTTACCTCATTTTATCACAATGAATATGAAATAAAAACAGGATCTGATGGCTGCACGAACCTTGTAAATAGCAATATTATCACAGCTTACATCAATATGACATAAACAAAATTCGGACCGAGTGAACAAAAATGTCTGTCCCCACATTAACTGAGGATCTACGTATATCTGTTTACCATAAGTATAAAAGTTTACCTGACAGTGAAGAATGCCTGGGAAAACATCCCAATAACAAACAACATCTCCATCAGCACTCTCCACATCTACTGCAGTGCTGGTGGTCTTCTCTCTTCATGTCACATACCCCAACCAACTTCCTCTAAATCTGCCAAATCACACTCAAGGGGGCACTGACCAAGCCCCACAGTGTCCATTGACCACACCCTGGTCAATCTGATCTTGGTCAGTCCACTACTTCATGGTCATCACTGTCCCTGCTTGACTCAGGCCAAAGCTAGGATTGACGGGTACTCAAAGCCTTCCTCTCGTCGTTCCAATCACCAAGAGTTCTAATCGCATATAAAGACAATACACTGAGCATCAACTGCTGAGAGCTGTTGCACCTCCTCTGTGCTAATGTCCCTATAGCTGAGAGTCCAACCATGTTGGTCAGCTTGTAGAGACCGACTGCTCTAATGTTCCACTGTCTGATCAGAAACCAGTAATGAGAGACACAGAGAACTGCTCCATGTTTTATACTCCCCTGTTTTCATACCACCAAGCCCACTACATATTGTCCTGCTATTATCAACTGATAAGAACTGGTTCTGTATCACTTCGTATCTGAGTAAACTTTGGAACACTTCTGGAAACAGGGACTATGATGTATTGGGCTAAAAATATTTTTCAATTTTAATTTAGTATCTAATCATTGATCTTTAAACGACCATAATCACCATCTAGAAACCAGGAGAAGACAATGTATTCAAATTTCTGTACACCACCAAACTACAAAAGCTTAAAAACTGAACATTGGTCATTACAATATGCCACTACTAGTAAAAAAAACTGCTGTCACCTTGTGTCTATGGTACAAACTGTATTCTTCTAGAGACACACAGTGTTGACACCTTAAAAAAAAACCTTTCCACTGCAGTCCACTTCACTGCAACCCCCCCCCCCCCCACACACACACACACACTTCTAAAAGAACAACTCACGTGGCACGAGCATCAACTCACTAGACACACATCACTTTATGTTATCAAACAGAGACGTGTGCCAAAATCCACAGGAGTTCCTCCCTGGTTATCTTAGCTTTGGAGACAGGTACAAGTGGGATATCTCCACGTCCCGTTCCCCCCCCCCCCCCCCCTCCCACTGCAGCCTAGGCACCCTAACTCGAAAGCATCGTGCATCGGAGCGCAAGCATCTCGGTTCTACATATAACTTGCCCATACTCGTCCCATATAGTGCATAGTAGTCTCTATATGTCTCTATGCAATATGCGATGCTTTCGAGTTACGGGGCCCTGGTGGAGTTCTTAATTGACCCCATGTAGCAGTTCAAACAATTCATTTTTATCACTCAACATACATATCTGGAGTGATATTTCATAATTAAAACAGGTGATAAGTTATGACAGCACTTGCCCATTGACAATGGAGTCATACCTGGTTTGATGTTAACTAGAGAACTGGGACAGCTTTATAAATGACGTGCACTGATACATGTAGAAACAGTAGCACCTTATTGTTGTACCTCATATCTTGATTCATATAACATGTACGAGGGACAATCACTGTCAGGTCAATCTTATCAAATGGAAATATTGTCCTGTATAAATAGCTTGACAGAAACTGATATGTGAACTCATTTCACCAAGTAAATATATATCACAGAAAACTCATGTTGACCTCGCAGGACAATGACAATTGTGTCCAAATTGATCAACTTTATCATCAAAACTAACTCACTAAACTCCATTCTAAACAGCTATCTTAGCCACTGATACAAAACAGTAGATTGCCGCAGTAAGTCAGCAAATGCTGTCAAATAAACAGACTGATACCTGATAATATCAAGACTGACAAGGTAATCATATCTATCTGTTGAAACACTTAGGAATAATTGTGTATGGCTAACAAAGGAAATGATTATGAAGCAAATACCTGCTAAACTATACTACTTCCATGTTCTGGTAACAGAAAAATTATAACAACTTTCAATACACTTGTGTAGAGAATGTTACCATATTTCATAAATAATTATTCAACAAGGGCAATTTTCTAACTGGGACTGTATTAAAATTACACTGGCATCACATGTACTATCACAAAACAGTAAACACAACCACTATCTTCTGTCTATAGAAACAATAGTAATATCCCAACAAGTTCATCAAATCACAGAAGTGCCAATCATCTGGCTAATCAGCCCATGATACACAACAGGTAGACCCCATATCAGCCCATGATACACAATGGGAAGACCCCATATCAGCCCGTAATGTGACAGGAGGCACATCCCATCTTGGAAAAGTCAACAATGAGTTGGCGTTTGTTGGTCCATCTTTTAATCTATACAGAAACCTGGGATGATATCCTAGAACTTATCTCTTTAAGTTTTTTATTTTGCGCTGTGGTCCGACGTGATAGATACACCATTTCTGTCAGTCAGCTACGTGTCCTGGCACCACTTATAAAGCGCATCTTTTTCGTATTACTGTCCGTCTAGTGAATGAATAAACAGTGTACATTCATTGCCCATTTCTAAGAATTCCTAATAATAACTGTCAGACGAACACTGGCGCTATGCCAAATACCAGCAAAACTGAAACCATGGCAGTAACATCTACTAAATTTATTCATTTACTGGCCGCTATTTCTGCCATGGGTCAGTAGATTCTTCAACCATCATGATCAGAAATATAATTTTGCTTGGAAGTGTTTGGCACATACTGATTTAATAAGTTTGGAAATATAATAAAGAAAAGAAGAAAAAGTAAACCTAAAAACTTGAAAATGAAGAAAATGTATCATTATTGAATTCAATTTTAGATAAATCACTTCTTTCAATTTATTTTTCTTCAATTTGTGCATTTAAATTAAAAATATTTAAAAAAAAAAATGATATCAATTTATATCTGAGATCCCACCCCCTTTATCATACTTTCAATTATAGCAAGTCAAAATGCCAGATCAGAGTGACAATAACAATAACTACGCAGTACCAAGAAAACAGAACTTCTATGATGATAATACCGATTAACCTCATTTTTGGAAAATCAATAACCANCGCAAGCATCTCGGTTCTACATATAACTTGCCCATACTCGTCCCATATAGTGCATAGTAGTCTCTATATGTCTCTATGCAATATGCGATGCTTTCGAGTTACGGGGCCCTGGTGGAGTTCTTAATTGACCCCATGTAGCAGTTCAAACAATTCATTTTTATCACTCAACATACATATCTGGAGTGATATTTCATAATTAAAACAGGTGATAAGTTATGACAGCACTTGCCCATTGACAATGGAGTCATACCTGGTTTGATGTTAACTAGAGAACTGGGACAGCTTTATAAATGACGTGCACTGATACATGTAGAAACAGTAGCACCTTATTGTTGTACCTCATATCTTGATTCATATAACATGTACGAGGGACAATCACTGTCAGGTCAATCTTATCAAATGGAAATATTGTCCTGTATAAATAGCTTGACAGAAACTGATATGTGAACTCATTTCACCAAGTAAATATATATCACAGAAAACTCATGTTGACCTCGCAGGACAATGACAATTGTGTCCAAATTGATCAACTTTATCATCAAAACTAACTCACTAAACTCCATTCTAAACAGCTATCTTAGCCACTGATACAAAACAGTAGATTGCCGCAGTAAGTCAGCAAATGCTGTCAAATAAACAGACTGATACCTGATAATATCAAGACTGACAAGGTAATCATATCTATCTGTTGAAACACTTAGGAATAATTGTGTATGGCTAACAAAGGAAATGATTATGAAGCAAATACCTGCTAAACTATACTACTTCCATGTTCTGGTAACAGAAAAATTATAACAACTTTCAATACACTTGTGTAGAGAATGTTACCATATTTCATAAATAATTATTCAACAAGGGCAATTTTCTAACTGGGACTGTATTAAAATTACACTGGCATCACATGTACTATCACAAAACAGTAAACACAACCACTATCTTCTGTCTATAGAAACAATAGTAATATCCCAACAAGTTCATCAAATCACAGAAGTGCCAATCATCTGGCTAATCAGCCCATGATACACAACAGGTAGACCCCATATCAGCCCATGATACACAATGGGAAGACCCCATATCAGCCCGTAATGTGACAGGAGGCACATCCCATCTTGGAAAAGTCAACAATGAGTTGGCGTTTGTTGGTCCATCTTTTAATCTATACAGAAACCTGGGATGATATCCTAGAACTTATCTCTTTAAGTTTTTTATTTTGCGCTGTGGTCCGACGTGATAGATACACCATTTCTGTCAGTCAGCTACGTGTCCTGGCACCACTTATAAAGCGCATCTTTTTCGTATTACTGTCCGTCTAGTGAATGAATAAACAGTGTACATTCATTGCCCATTTCTAAGAATTCCTAATAATAACTGTCAGACGAACACTGGCGCTATGCCAAATACCAGCAAAACTGAAACCATGGCAGTAACATCTACTAAATTTATTCATTTACTGGCCGCTATTTCTGCCATGGGTCAGTAGATTCTTCAACCATCATGATCAGAAATATAATTTTGCTTGGAAGTGTTTGGCACATACTGATTTAATAAGTTTGGAAATATAATAAAGAAAAGAAGAAAAAGTAAACCTAAAAACTTGAAAATGAAGAAAATGTATCATTATTGAATTCAATTTTAGATAAATCACTTCTTTCAATTTATTTTTCTTCAATTTGTGCATTTAAATTAAAAATATTTAAAAAAAAAAATGATATCAATTTATATCTGAGATCCCACCCCCTTTATCATACTTTCAATTATAGCAAGTCAAAATGCCAGATCAGAGTGACAATAACAATAACTACGCAGTACCAAGAAAACAGAACTTCTATGATGATAATACCGATTAACCTCATTTTTGGAAAATCAATAACCACACAGCACATAAGACCTTGTCTACGCAGTCTCTGGAAACTGGATCTGGACACCAGCCGTCCTTGGCTACAGCTTCCTCAGAGGTTTTGTTTACAAGGTATGACATTTTGTAAAACAACAATGAAAGTGAAATAAATGAAAGTGAGAAGAAAGATCCTCTACTTTCTAGATCAGCTATGAACCTGAACAGTTTACTGAAACTCCCATAACTTTCTTATATTTCAATTTCATTTGAAAAAGTAGAAAATGCTTTAAAAGGAAAAACATTCCCAGAAGGCAACTGTGACAAGGCATGTTCACATTGAACTTATGCATACATAGCTTACCCATTAGCCAGACACACCATGGAGAAAGGTTCACTTGGTACTATTGATTACTTGAGTTTTACAGTTCTCTTTTTCAATATTCCAAAAGGTAACATTTGTGAAAAATACTAAAAACAACAGTTATTTTCAAAACAATCAATTTGTGTACACTTTTTTTTGCAATTCTTTCTTTATCTAAATTGATATCTGGATGTGTGGGAGTATCCTCTTCCCAAGAGACATTTTCAAACTGTCTTTGTGTTTCAAGATTAACAAAAAGTTTTCTGGGCATAGGTCAAATTATGCCACATTAAACATATATATATATATATATATATATATATATATATATATATATATATATATATATATTCAATTTAAATACAATACAAAGTAATAAAGTATACTGCACACTTCATGTAGATATGCATGAGACACGAATCACTCAGTTTAAGTATTCATGAGAAATAAATCATGAGCTCCTATAATTTGGTTACTCTGGAACCAAGGTACAAGATAACATGCCACATTCATCAATAAAAGAAATAGTCACAACACAAAAGAGATTATCAACCAATATCTCTGGTATTCCAGGATGTGGTCAATAGGTTCAGTTTTTTTCTTTCTTTCTTTGAGTATGACATAATTATCACACTATTTTGTCTCCAGCCAATCCATACTTTACTTCCTTAATGCATTATGCTAGAATCTTGCTTCAACAACTTAAGCATGATATTGGGTTGTAAGAAAAAAGAAGGAAGAAGGGGGTCAGTGTCCTTATGGGAGAGAGAGAGAGAGAGAGAGAGAGAGAGAGAGAGAGATATACTGCCCAGGAAAAAATCAGATTTATAGTGGGGAAAAAGATGACATTTGATAACAAAAAAGATAATAAATCTAACCAAACATCTTCTTCGCCCACTTCATCTCTCCTGAAAACATTCTGAAATTTAAGTGATCTTTTTTCTGAGAAAAAAAAAGCAAATTTCAATGAGGTTTTAGTAAAAATGTTTCAATAATTCATCAAATACTTTTTGTTATAAACAGCAATTCAAAATGGCTCTCATCAACAACACCTTCTCACCCCCCTTGACCCCCCCTCATCACCACCCCATACCCCTGCCCTCACCCCCCTCAAC